CTTTAATTCCCAGGAAGGGAATATTGCAGTGGTGTTTTGTGGGGGGTAACGGGCTCATCCCCGAGCCCCTCATGGCGTTTCCAGGCCATGAGGAGACTCCAGGGCACAGGGAGCTCGGGGCGAGGGTGAGCACCGTTGCCGCAGTGCAGCTCGCCTGCTGTTACGGCCATTGACCCTAACGTTGGGTTAGCACCTCCTCAGCCTCCTCCAGCAAGCTAGAGCTGCCCCGAATATTTTCATTATATGGAAATTCTGACAATTTTAGCTAAAGATGTTTTATTCCTCTTTATATTCTGCATATTTTCCTCTTTTCCTTCTGTAGTGTCACACCTCTGCTTCCAAGCATACTGCAGCAGCCAGTGAGGACTCTCACGTATTGTAGCTTGCGGAAGGGGAAGAGGAAAACGGTGAAAGCCGTGATCGATCGGTTCCTCCGGCTGCACAATGGTCTTTGGGTAAGGAGACGGGTAAGTGTCATTTTAATGTTCTCCATATTTCCTAGGAAGTGTAAAGAACCTATAGTCCTTTACAGACAGTGATCTTTTTCCTTTCTGTTAAAAGGAAGCAGCTAATGTGGAAGTTTAAATAATAACGAAACAGGCTGTTGATTTCTTGAAAGCAGAATGAGCCATTCTGTTTTCACTGCTGTATTTTTCTATGCAGTAATCTGCCTTAAAGTTCTTGTGTGTGTTTCTTCCCGGTAGGCTGGTTACAAGAAAAAACTGTGGAAAAAATCAGCTGCCCAGAGAAAGCGCTTGAGGGAGCTGGCGCTGTGCAACAGAACTCAGTGCAAACTCCTGGATAAAATGACCACCTCTTTTTGGAAGAGAAGAAACTGGTACGTTGACGATCCCTATCAGAAGTACCACAACCGCACGAACCTGCGTGTGTAGCGATGTTCTGCTTTTGCACCCCAGGCAGCAGGTGACGTTACATGGAACACATCTCTTCCCTATTTCCAAACATAAATCTCTAATGCCTGCTGATTGCCAGAGTAAAGATTATCTGTATCGTCTGGACAAAGTTACGAGTCTCGGTGACCAAAATAAAGGGATGGTCAAGAATGCTTTGGGCAATGACTTGTGTTTTCCTTAGCAGAGATCGGGTGACCTGCATGTTCTGAAGTCTCTTGGCTGAGATTCTTGTGTGTGTAACGTATGTGGATGAACACGGCTTGAACACTGCCGAAAGGCAGTGAAAAACTGAAACATACTTGGAGTTTTCTAAAGAAGCATATTTAGATAACTACTGGGTATTGCATCCCTATCTTTTAATAGTATTAGCTGAATTTAATTGCAGAAGTTCTGTACAGGACTTGGTTCTGAATATTTCCTCGCTTCTTTAAGAATAATTGTACCTTACCCTGCATCTTGCAGCTCTCTGACCACGTGTATGCATGGAAGGCTCTATTCAATGCTTTTGCAGTGTGAGATTCAGCTAATTTCTGCGTTTGATGAGGGTTAGGTCGTGGGCTTTCTCTACAGAGTTGATAACCCCAGCACATGAGTGAAAAGCAGTTGTCTTTAGCAGCAGCTTCAAAATATTCCCTGAGGATTTTCCGGCGATGCTTCCTGGTTACAGGCTGCAGAGCCACCCCCTCAACAAGAGGGTTTTGCTGCACAGGGCTGTAGCGTTTCAATGAATTCACTCAGAGTGTTCAGCACCATTTCAATGAACTCACTGGTTACTCAGAGTGTTCAGTAGCTGTATTTTTTTTTCCAGTTCATTACAGAGAAAAGTTCTGAAGGACATGCAGCACTTAGTGAATACATCTATATACAGTAAGCCAGAATTGAGATAAAAATAATACAGCAAGAAAAGGAATTATTCTGGCCTGCCAGATACATTGAACAGAATAAAGATGTTCTCTCTTTTTTTTTTTTTAAAGAAAAGATTAAGACTTTATTCAAGATGTATATCAAGCAGTATAACAAAACCTGCAAAACATCAACCTTTGGAAGAGGGTTGTAACGCCCGTCCCGGGGAGGCGTTGGGTACTACTTCATCACGGATCTTTGCTACTGCTTACAGAAAGAAAACACACAAAGTGCACAGTTACGCTTCTTAAAGAGTCTGTATAAACGCAAATCCCAACTTAGTGTTCTCTGCTACTCAACTATGGTGCTGGATGCAAAACTGGCACCCGGGACAAACAGTCCAAAAGGCGACTGTGATTAACAAGCATTCAGTCACACACATGGATTTCATTACTACAGGCGGACAGTTGGAGGCAGCAGGTTGTTTACAGGAGGGTAAGGGCCTTGATATCTCTCTGAGCAGCCTTTTCCCCTCTCGCTAGGATTTCCTTTTCTTTTGTACTGGGTCTGCACTTCGACCCTTCAGGCAGGTGTGGGATCGTTCCAGGGTTCAGCCCGAGGTCTTAGCGCTGCCTTGGTGCGACCTGTGGCAGCTGTGAGCGGAATAAGCTTGGGAGGGCTCAGCGCAGCCCTCCTTGCTCCTGGCACGGCAGCAGGGGGTTGTGCTGGGCCCTTGCGAGCTCCTTCTGCCCACGGCCGAGGTCGCGTTGTGCTCGCCGGGCAGGGTGGCTCCCAGAGCCGCTCTCCGCTGCCCGGCTCTGGCTGCCGTTTCCCTGGAAGCCTCCGTTTCGCTGGCGTTTCACGTGAGCCCCCTCCCCTGGTTGAAGTTGTCCTTCCTAGGGCTGACTCTTGGGGTTGTGTGTCCCAGCGTGTCTGCTCTGCACGAGCGACAGCCTCTCTATGGGGCTGCTCCCGCCCGAGCTGGGAATCCTGGGATCCGGCCGCCCCCCGCTGCAGCCCTGGAGCTCGGCAGCCGCGAGGGGTCAGCAGCGGAGCGGGACCCTCGCTGCGCAGCCTGGCTCCGCGACGGACACCGAGGGGAGAAACTGCCACAGGAACGTCCTGCCTGGTGGTTATTCTACAGCAACAGCCACAAGGGAAAAGGACAGAGCTGGGGCAACGGCTGTAAACAACCCGTGTGGGGGATATGAGGAATTCAAAGCAAGGGACCACGACTCTGTATACAGAGCACTACAGCACTAAGTGTTTCGGCATTCACATTTCCTGTCTACCTATCTATACGCAAATATACAGCTCCGTTGATAAATTAATACATTTTAGCCAGAAATACGAAAAGTTTTTTTTCTCATGTATACAGTGAGTGTTCTGAGAGATATAAGGCAACTCCCTTGTCAACAATTTCACCTCAGCACTTAAGAAAATCTAAACAGTCAAGTTTACAGTAAAACAGCAGATTAGACTCATGTTTAATAATTTCAGTGAGAAATAATGTTAATAAAGTGTGTCTGAGAATAGAATTTGATGTTATGTAGCTCTATGTTGTTTGGCATAATCAAGTGCAAACTTGTCAGCTTCTTCTATCATACGGCAGCCTATTGCATAGCAGGAAAATACAGCTTGCTTGCAACAGGAGTTCATCTTCTGCTAACACTGCAAGCAGTTCTATTTCTTTTTAATGTTTGCCAAAAGAAATCAAATAAACTCTAAAGCTGCTTAAATAAAACACGCAAGGTGAGTTCCTCAAAGCTTTTTCTGTGCATCTTCTAAGGACTGACTCTTCTGCAATTGCCTTTGAGCAGATTTTGTTTTCAGTTTACCTTCTGGAAATTTTCTCCATCTTACTCATTTCAAAATACCATTTGAGTTAGTACATATAAAGGAAAGAAAATTCTCAGGTAATTGGGCCAGATATTGTGGCAGACACAGGAAATATCTGTGTGTTTTTTCCCACTTCCTACCAGGTCAGATAAGGGTTTGTGCGTGCGCGTGGTTTTGTTTCTCCCTTCCCCACATTCCCTGGAAAGTGCCCTGGGAAGGGAGAGCGGGGCTACGGATTCACACCCGGCACAGAAACATATTTAAAGGCCACTTCAGATTTATTTGTGAGCCCGATACATCGGCCGCTGGCATCCTGGGCTGCTGCACGTACCCGAGATGAGCAGCGCTGTCCCTAACCACGTCCGTGTACCGACCCGTTAGTGACGCACGTCTACGTGGTGCTAAATGTCTTCCTAGTCTATGAGAGAGATCCAAGAGCAAACACAAAAAGTCACGTATTTAACTGGTGTGTGAACTTCACATGCTTAACACTTACAAGAGACACCAACTTGAAGCACAAATACACAAATCCTACCACGTCTTCCTCTTCTTTTATGATTCTCGTTTATATATGGATGCAAAGGCGCCGTTCGACGCGGTTCGGCTACCAAAGCCCCAGGGCAGCGCAGAGCCAGCGCCCCGCTCTGCTCTGCTCTGCTCTGCTCGTGGGAGTCAAACCCAAGCGCCGCACCAGGAAAGCAGAACCCTGGAGCTGACACCGCTACGTGCCCGACAGAAAGGTGCATTTCCCCCTGGAAATAAGTCACTGAAGTCACTCTAGGTTCTGTTGCTGCAGCTCCTACGAGCCCGGCTTGCTCACACTTTAACCCTGGCACCAGAACATTTGCGACCAGCAGCGCGAGCTGGTTCTTGCAGCCTCCATCGGTTTCCACACAATACTCTCTTGGCTCAGGCTGATCAAAATTAAGACTCCCCCTTCAATACAATGTGGAAACCATTAATTTTCTCTCACACATCTCTTCCTCATCCTCTCTAAGTGGCTCTGTGTCTACATTTTTAGCACAATGGTTTTCTCTGAATACACGTGATTGGTTTGCAGAAAGAGAAATGCAGTTGCAGCTTTTGCTAACAGACTGTGGGCATTTTTGTACAGTCAGAATAATTCAGCATTTGCTATATCATTCACAGTCCTGAGGAGGAAGGGAGGGGAGAGAAATCCATGGCTTCTGCAAACCCACTTCATGAACGATAAAGCCATGAGTAAACACACTGTCAATCATCGTGAGCGACTGCCTAGTTTTGTTTGTACTGTGCACTCACCGAGCTAGAGCTATGCAGACACAACTGGGAATTACAAAGGTACAGCCTTACAGGGGTAGGTGCACTGGGCACAGGGAATGGGGGCTCATTCCCTGGTTGTCCTACCCATGTCACGCAGGAGCGCGCGCGGAAGCGTCACAGGAGGATACGGAGAGAGGGGCGAGAGGCCATGTCTACAGCGCTGCGCAGCGAAGCACATCCATCCCGCTGCTGCTTTCTACATCGTTAACACGTAGCTCTTTAAGGCAGAAGAGAGACATTCTGTGGATCTTGGTGCTATTGGCTCATTGCACTCACATTGTTTCAGTGGCGGAGGACGAGGTACTTTTCTTCCTGAAGCGAGATCTAAGGGTCCTAGGCGGTGCCTGCAGAAGAGGGAGAGAAACTTCATTAGTGCATAGGGAAAAGGCTGTTCTTTATTTGGTCGTAATTATGCTGCCTTGGGTACGAAGAAAGAGAAGTGGATCCTTAGCCTTGGAGATTATTAAAAAGGAGCAGCTGAGGATTGCCCCTTTTAAGAAGTTGCTGCAGGTTTCTCTGCAGGTTGCGCCACCTCCACATTTTCCCCGGCACGTGGTAAAGGTTGGTAAAGCTGAAGGTTGCTAACTAATGCAATGGACTAAGGAGCCAGGACAAGCTGCTGCAATTTACAGCAGCCGTTGGATCAAGAGAGCAAATTGGTGGTAGAAAACCACCTCTGCTGCTTCCCAACCCTGCCCTGGATGTCCCGAGCAGCTCCAGCATCTGAGGGCCCAGCTCTTTTGGACACTACAGGCCAGAAGGGGTTCCAAGGTGGCACAACATGGTCCGTGTTTTCCCCGGACCAAGAAGCCCATATGAGCAGCACATACTTCTCCTGGGAGACCTTCGGCACGACACTATGCGTGGTGAGATTCACAAAACCCGTTGTGAAAAGACGTTAGTGAGGAGCATAAATTCTGAACTGAGATGCCTGCCAGAGCGTTGAGCATCACACCACGGGGCCTGCTGAGCCGTTCTGCTTCATTGACATGAATATCCAAAGCCTGCTTTCCATTAACAGCATAAACCTATTTACCTGCGAGACTACAGCAGTGTCTTACCCTTCAGAAGTGAAGATTTAATCACTTCTATTCTAGAGGACTTTCCAGTCCAAGATGAGGCTGCATTTTGTCCAGATTCTTGTGATGGAGCCAGGTATAAACATTCGTACAAATAAGGAACTGCAGCACAGTGGAGTTTTGTTTAGGCTCTAGCTGGCTTTCCCATAAACAACAGAAGTTGCTGGCAGAGAGACGATTAAATCCAAATCCGCCCAGCTTCCAGGCCTGAGTTTTTACTCAAGTCCCCACTGTGAATCTGCAAAGAGCCCAGCACACCCAGGAGGGACAGATCCACCCAGAAAGGCCTCAGTGGTGTGAGGGACCGGGCCAAGAATCAGGAGCTCTTTGGCTGTGGCTTTTGGCTGTTCTCACCACAATTATCCTGCCTTGGAGATGAGAATATATTTTCTTTTATGGAAATGAAAACCCACCTAGTGGTTGGGATCCAAATGTTCTCACTGAAATACCTCCACATTAGCATGTGGTTTAGAGCAGGATCCAAATTTTGCAACTCAAATCCTTCTCTGGAGCCCTCTGTAACTATTATTTCCACATGCACAGAATTCCAGCTTTGATCAGGGAACCCACACATGTGGAAAAATAAGTGTACCCATAGCAAAACCCACCCTTGGAAGACCAGGAGTACATTGCTCAGAGTCAGTGTTTCTGTGCCAAAGAATTCAGCTGGACATTCAAGGAACTTCATAGGAGACAGAGCCTGGACAACATGGAAGTACCTCCAGGGGCTGATCCTTCTTTGGGGGTTTTTTGTTCGTGGATGCACAGTCCAATAAATCATTCTCTTCATCGTCTGAGAACACAGAGCCTTTTGTCTCACAGTTTGTCTCACGTGGCTTTTCATATTTATTGTCCACCTCTAATTAACGTGGCCATTTACAGTCTAAATGTGAAGACAAAGGATGAGGAAGGTCAGCGACAGTTGGATTCCCGTTCCACCGAGCCCCAGTCACTGCAAAGCCATGCACCTTCGGGGTTAACACGCAGAAAGGCCACACGTCACACGCTAGTAAGAGCACTTGGCGAGTTAGAAACCAAAAGGCCCCAGCTTTGAATCCACTGGATTAGTTTACATAAAATTTAGACTAAATTCACAGCTGATGTTTTGGCTTTTGACTCCTTTAGCAGATTTTTTTTTTCAAATTGGGCTCGTGGATAAATGAGATTTCCTTAACTGCCAGTCTCATCTGGAGTTGCAGCATCTATTGCTTCCAGTCGAGCGTTCTCTGGAAGACACCAACTGAGAGCTGAAGCTCTGCCTTGGATGCAGGAATACGCAGAGCTGAGCACAGCAGCACTAACCCACCTGAAGCTGAGTGAATTCGAGCCAAATGCCCAATTTAAGATCCCCTGAAGTTAACCAGACCTCTGCAGAGAGTTTCTTATCAGTAGGGCTGGAGTTTTCCTACTTAAATTGACAATTACACTTCTTCCATTTTGAAACATCTCAGGAGTAGAAGAGTTGCTGTCCGGATGGCATTAATCACAATTATGGGCTCTCTATTTAAGACTGTTCTGTAAGTACACATATAAAATAGTGCTTCATACTTCACGTCTCAGACTGACAGCAAGCCGACACTCCAAATGCTATAAGAGGAGGATTCTTAAATTCTTAAAAAATCATAGCTCTACTGGGATCTTCAAAGCACAAAAGTGCTGAATTCTCAAACTGCTCTTTAAATTGGGTAATGGAGAGAGAGTGGGGGACTGATTTGCCTACAGCAACATCACAAGTCACGAGCAGGTCCCTGGGGCTCTCCCCAGTGCCAAATTGCAGTCAAGACCTGACTGTTCCTGGCTGCATATTCAGGCTGCAGGATGTAGCTGCTGCTCCCGGGGCAGCGCGCACCATCCTCTGGCCACTGACCCCGGGTTTCTACCTCTTCAGCACCATTTGTAGGGCCAGGTTGGACGACACCGCCACAGGCTTTCAGGAAGAGCAGGAAATTGGCTTGATTCTGAAAATGCTGATATTCACATTGCAGAGAGGCCAGGGATAATTGCTGAGTTGGGGGGTTTCTATATGTGACTGTGGTGCTAATGTTGTTCTGTGGGGACGATACCAAATGTTGTTTAGGCCACGTGGCAAATCAGCCGAGGGCCATTTTATTCTCTCTTTTCATTCTGGAAGTGAGATATCCAGGGAAAGCCCAGCTTAGGTTCTCCTGCGGTGGGAGTTGGTCCTTAGGGCCTCTCTGAGCCAAGGGAAATAGAGTCAAGTTGGCTTTGAATGTGGTTTGCTCAGATGTTGAACAGCGCCCAGACCAACGAGGCCCCAAAGTACACCCTGTAGGCCCGCTGTATTCCCCTTAGCAATGCAACTGGGGTGCCACAGCGCATCCCCACACATCCGCCCCTCCGAGCACAGCAGGGCTTTCCCTCAGGATGAAAAGGGACATTTAAGAGGAGCGTGGGGTGTTGAACAACCAGGGTTAGACAGAGCATCCAGCAGGATCAGTGATGAGACTGGAGACACGAGCAGCCAAAGCTGCGAACACAGAGGATCAGACAGAAGGCCCCTTCCCCTTCATCCTCCAGCCAGCAGCTCCACAGAAAAATGGCACGGGAGGAACTGCCAGCCCTGGCATTCCTGTTTCCAGGAATTCCATGCTTTTCCAGTGTACATTGCTTTCTTTGTTACTATTCTCTCCTTTAAATGGGTGCTGGGCAGAAATGTTATCCACACGGCCCTGCCTTCTCGCTGTCTCCAGCACAGACCGGTCTCCTGTAGCCTTTTCCACAATTCCCATCGGACGGAGTGTCGTATCTGTGTCCAGGAGCTGCTCTTTTGAGGTCCAAGAGCAGAGATCGGTCTCCAAGACGCCTGCTTTGACCCTTGTAGCACAGGGTTTTGTGATGCTCACTGGAAACAAGGCTGAGACCCTTTTCTCCCCTACTTCATCTCAGTGTGGATGAGGCACCAAAAACCACCCACACGGAAACCAGGTTTGCTTTGACTTTACTGAATTGGGAAAGAGAAGGAGAGGGTCTATCCCAGGCCTTTCCAATTTGTCTCTGATCAGGGACCAGAGCAGATCTTGAGCACCCAGGGCCCATCTTTTAAGACACTCAGTGAAAAGGGGAGACTCCCGTCCCCTAAGGGGAATGATTCAGAGGGGACGCCCGTATTTTGGGAAGTTCCATCCTCGCATTGATCTGGGGTGCCGGACTTTGTCCTACATTTGTGGAGCCCACAACGTGGTACTGAGGTGGGACTGCAGCAAACTTATCTCAGAAAGGTTGCAATGAGTTAGTGCCAGCTCTGAGGTTGATTTTCTGGATAAAACTCAGATTCAATACTTTCCTGCATCAGGAGAGGGGTCTTCTGTAGCAGAAAAGAGGTGTAAAGCAGGGAATTAATCAGAATAACAAATATACATGTGAGGAGTTAGAGGGAAAAGGGATGAAGGGTTACAGTAAATGGGTAAGTTGTGGGACCCCAAGATTTGATTGTGGCCAAGCCTCGAAGTTGTAAGTTTTCCTGATGAAAGCACACATTCAAGTGCTTTGCAGGGCTGGAAACAAACACACCACAGGGAACACCCCAGCACCCACAAGAAAATGGAGAGCAAGATCTTTGCCACCTTTAATCTCTGACTCTACGCAGGCTAAACAGACTCATTGGTCAAACTCTTCTTACAGCAACAACTGGGATTCTGTAGCTATTTTCTCTTTCTTATTGGCTAGGCTCTGATCCATACTGTTGTGCAAATCCAGAGTGATTCTGGATTTACACCAGTATAACAGAGAGCAGGACCTGGTCCAGTCAAATTAGAATGAGTAAAGGATATTAACCCAGATCCTTTGAAATATTTGAATTTGAAAGCATTTGCAGCTGAAATCAGGCACCCCAATATTGAGAGGAGCTGGATGCCCCTTATTTTCCCAGTCAGTCCTTCTTGGCCACCTCAGTTGGATTCCCTGGGGCAAGGGGAGAACACCGTCACATATTCTACAGGCCAAGGAACTAGATATTGTATTACTGCAATAGAAAACAAAGTCACTCCAAGGCTAAGCCTCCCTTCTGTAAGGAGATTTGCACAGCACTTAGCAAGAGAAAGAGAGCAGATATTTATTCTACGATGGTGATCAGCTTCTTTTCCCTGCAACAAAGACAAATTTGCCATCATTTCCAGAAGACAGTGACCCCAGTCACGTACCTTCCCCAGAGTTTCATTGCCAAACCAAGAAGTTAGGAGCAGCCAACTCCACCCTGCCCAGAGCCACAGGACGCAGGGAGGCAGGCTTTATCCTTTCAAAGCCAA